GTAGAGATGAGGTCTCACCAAGTTGCCCAGGTGTGTCTCGAACCTGCGGGCTCAGGCAATCCTTTCGCCTCGGCCTCCCAAAATGCTGGATTACAGGCTGAGTCACCGAGCCCGGCCTATTTTTATTTTTTTTGAGTGAGAATCTCTTACTCCATCTCCCAGGCTGGAGTGCAGTGGCACATTCAAGGCCACCCTAGAGTGACTCTGGCAATCCTTCCGCCTCAGCCTTCCAAGTAGCCAAGACTACAGGTGCGTACTACCATGCCCGGCTAATTTTTGATTTATTGTAGAGATGAGGTCTCACCAATTTGCCCGGGCTGGTCTTGAACCCAGGGGCTCAGACAATCCATTTGCCTCCGCCTCCCAAAGTGCTGGGATTATAGGGTGAGCCACCGAGCCCAGCCTGTTTTTAATTTTTTTGAAAGAGGGTCTCACTCTGTAGCTGAGGCTGGATTGCGGTGTCCAGCTCACTGCGGCCTCAACCTTCTGGACTTGAGTGATACTCCCATTTCAGCCCTCCATGTAGCTGGGGTTACAGGCACACACCACCAGGCCTAGCCAATTTTTTATATTGTTTTGTAGAGGTGAGGTCTCACTATGTCTCCTAGGCTGGTTTTGAACTCTTGGGTTCAAGCAGTCTTCCTGCCTCAGCCTCCCAAAGTGCTGGGATTACCGGCCTGAGCCACCATGCCCAGCCTTATTTTAATATATTCTTATCATAGTTCCCATCAATTTCTCATGAATTTGAAGTACCACTTATTCTTGGCAGAGATGATTGTCATTTCCTAGAATTCTGCCTTGATCACCCTTAGCATCAGTTTAAATAATACAGTCAACACATATTTCGAAGCACCTCATTGAACCATTTGGAAGTCTTAGGTGTTAGAAATGTTTTGGTAAAAGGGAGATACTGCTGTAAAAGGAATGAATATAAGTATGTATATTCCTTTGTGAAGAAAGAAAATTGTCTTGAAAAAGAGTAGGACTGGGTGTGGTGGCTCATGCCTGTAATCTCAGCACTTTGGGAAGCAACAGAATGAGACTCTAACTCAAAAAAAAAAAAAATACTGATGGGGTAACTTTCTGGTTGACTCTTGCTTTTGGCACATGTGTGAAAATATTTTCAGTGTCTTAGTTCGAACTTTTTTTTTTTTTTTTTAAGTTGGAGTCTCACTCTGTTGCCCAGGCTGGAGTGCAGTGGCACACTCATGGTCACCGCAGCTTTGATCTGCTGGGCTCAGGTGATCCTTCCACCTCAGCCTTCCAAGTAGCTGGAACTACAGGTGTGTACCTCCACACCCAGCTAATTTTTCTTGACTTATTGTAGAAATGAGGTCTCACCAAGTTGCCCTGAACTCAGGTAAATCCTCTCGCCTTGGCCTCCCAAAGTACTGGGATTATAGGCTTAAACCACTGCGCTTGGTCTCTTAGTTTCAACTTTAAACAAACTATAATAATTAATACAAGATTCAAGAACAATTAGTTAATTAATATCTACTTTAAAGTTTTTCTTTTCATTATGTCTCATCCCTAAGGGTTGTAACAAAAGATAAATGAGAGGAAAAATAACGTGCAAGAAGTCCAAACCCTTCTGTCAATCAAATTTGTACAGAGAAAATCCACAGGCTCTATGGGGCTCACCTAAAAGTGGCAGTGATGACGCCTTGCCGTTATTTGTTGATGTCGGGTTGTTCTTCCGCTTGACTCGAGGAATGAGTTTCTTCTCCACTGCCCTTATCTTATGTGCGAGAACCTCTGTCATCATCGCAGCTCTCTTCTTCCCAGAACGGGGAACAGGCTGAGTGAACCGTGTTCTTTTTTTGCGGCGGGGTGTGAGGACCTCGATGGCCCCAGATTTGATCTTGGCTTCCATTCCTTCCCTTGAGCCAAACTCATCTGTGTCTGAAAGTTTATAAAGAGGTAGCACATGGAGCTGCTCATCTTGAGGAATAACACCCAAGGAGCGGTTATCTTCTCGTGTTAAAGTACAAACCTGATAGGAAGAAAACATGAAATGGGAAACATAGGTTGTGCACATTCATCGTAGCTATCACTATCTTCTTTCTGTTGCCATTGGGAGAGCAATCAGTATTCTCATTTTCTTTTTTTTTTTTTGAGTGGGAGTTTCACTCTGTGGCCTAGGCTGGAGTGCAGCGGCATGCTTATGGCTACCAAAGCCACAAACTGCTGGGCTCAACTCAGGCAATCGTGCTTCAGTCTTCCAAGTAGCTGGAACTGCAGGCATGTGCCACCATGCCTGGCTAATTTTTTGATTTATTGCAAAATTCTAGCCAAGTTGCCCAGGCTGGTGTCAAACCCTTGGGCCCAGGCAGTTATCTTGCCTTGGCCTCCCAAACTGCTGGGATTGCAGGCAGAGTCACTGCACCCAGCCTTATTTTATTTTCAGTTGATTACGGATGGTATATTAATTGTGAATATATATTTTATACCAAGCCACTCAACTCTATTCAATTCTATTAGTAACTTACCAGTTGTTTGTCAACAGGTTAGACTAATTCTGACTCAATTTATCAGGTAAATTAAAATTGTTATGATTTTAGCTTATACATAGCACCCTATTTCTTTTTCTTTTCTTTTCTTTTTTTTGAGTTGGGAGTTTTACTCTGTTGCCCAGGCTGGAGTGCAGTGGCAAACTCACAGCCACCGCAGCCTCGACCTGACGGGTTCAAGTGATCCTTCCACCTCAGCCTTCCAAGTAGCTGGAACTACAGGCATGCACCACCACTCCTGGCTAACTTTTTATTTTACTGTAGAGATGAGGTCTCGCCAAGTTGCTCAAGCTGGTCTCAAACACGTGGGCGCAGGCAATCCTCTCACCTCGGCCTCCCAAAGTGCTGGGATTATAGGCGTGAGCCACCACGCCTGGCCCCCTATTTCAATAATGTCACATTCCATAGGTAGAGAGAGCATAATTAAAATGAATTGTTCCGCTAGGCGCGGTAGCTCATGCCTATAATCCCAGCAGTTTGGGAGGCTGAGGTGAGAGAATTGTCTGAGTCCACGGGTTTGAGACCAGCCTGGGCAACGTGGCGAGACCTCATCTCTACAATAAATAAAAAAAAATTAGGCGTGGTGATGCATGCCTTTAGTTCCAACAACTTGGAAGGCTGATGTGGAAGGATCACCTGAGCCCAGCAGGTTGAGGTTGCAGTGGCTATGAGCATGCCACTGCACTCCAGTCTAGGTGACAGAGTGAGACTCCAAATAAAATTTAAAAAAAAATTATTCTAATTTCCTGTGTTTTCCTCTGGGATGTTTTTGCTTCTGCTTAACAGAGGGACATGGCTGGGTATACCTGTAATCCCAGTACTTGGAAGGCCAAGGTGGGAGGATTGCTAGATGTTAGGTATTTTTAGACCAGCCTGGGAAACAAAGTGAGAACCCCATCTCTACAAAGAAAAAAAGTGGAACTTACTTATAGATATTTGTCTACCCTCTTTTTCAAGATAATTTTTTTTTTTTAATTTAAAGTGGCAGTGATGAGGTCTCGTCAAGTTGCCCAGGCGGGTCTGGGCTCAGGCAATCCACTCAACTCAGCCTCCCAAAGTGCTGGGATTACAGACTGAGCCACCGAGCCCGGCCAAGATAATTTTTTTCTTCACAAAGTGAATTGAAAATATCAAGCAAAAAAAAGAGGTATAAGAAATTTCTCTTCCTAGTAGGACCAACAGTCTTATAAAATCTGAATGAAATATAGATACATTTTCTCTCTCTCACTCTTTTTTAAAAGGCAGGTTCTCACCCTGTCATCCAGGCTGGAGTGCAATGGCATGATCATTGCTCACCACAGGCTTGAACTCCTGGGCCCAGGTGTTCCTTTCACTTCAGCCTCCCAAGTAGCAAGTAATCCCCTGCCACACACACATGCAGTTAATTTTTTCTAATTTTTAAAATTTTTTTGTGGGGCTGAAGTCTTGTTATATTGCCTGGGATTACAGGTGTGAGCCACCATGCTTGGCCTACTGAAATCAACTTAATGGTCGACAGGGAAATAAAGGATATAAGGAGTAGATATGAAGAGCATAATTTGAAAGACTGTGGAGCTTGGTACAGTGGCTCATGCCTGTAATCCCAGCACTTTGGGAGGCAGAGGTGAGAGGACTGCCCGAGCCTATGGGTTCGAGACCAGCGTGGGCAACATTTTTAGGCCTCGTCTCTACAGCGAAAAAAAAAAAATTAGCTGGGCGTGGTGTGTGCACACCTATAGTTCCAGCGACATGGAAGGCTGAAGCAGAAGAAGGATTGCCTGAGCCCAGTAGGTCAAGGCTGTGGTGGCCGAGAACATGCCACTGCACTGCAGATTAGGCCATAAAGTGAGACTCTGACTCCAAAAAAACAAACAAACACACAAACAAACAAAAAAACTGGGAAGACTAGGGAAACAGACCGTGTGAAAAAGAGGAGAGAGGTAGTGGTAGAATTTCAAGAGTTTGAGTTTTTCAGATGGGGAAAGGTCAAGTTCCAGGAAAAAGCCCCATTCATTGCAAGAGTACATTACAGTGGAAAGAACACGGAGAGGCGAAACAGACACGTAGTTTGACTCTGAACCTAATCCAGCTAGATCATAGATATTCTGTAATGAGGTAATTCAGGTAAAATGTACTAGCTAAGTGATGATGGATCACGGCCTGGCTAGTATTCTGCAGGCTGGATTTAGGTAACTTCAACATTTGGAAATAACACTGGTCTCAAAGACTATACTCAACTAGACTCATGTTGACTCATGTCAAAACCCTCTCAGTGAGTTGATATACTTCAATTGTACAGCTGCATGTGGTCACAGGCTTTAAGTCAGAATTTGACACTTAGCTTAGTTCATGTGTGGCACCTGAATCATCCTGAAACTATCCCTGTCCTGTGCCCCCACTGGTCTGTGGAAAATTTGTCCTCCACAAAACCAGTCCCTGATGCCAAAAAGTTGAGGACTGCAGGTGTAGAAGAATGATATACCAAAAAAAAGCTTTTGGGTTTTTTCTTTTTTCAGTTGAGGTCTCATTCTGTTGCCCAGGTCAGAATGCAGTGGTACAATCACAGCTTATTGCAGCCTCAAACTCTGGGCTCAGGTGATCCTCCCAACTCAGCCTCCTGAGTAGCTGAGACTACAGGCACGTGCCAACACACCTAGCTAATTTTTTTAGAGACGTGGTCTCACTATGTGGCCCAGGCTAGTCTCAAGCGCCCAAAGTTATGAGGTTACAGGCATGAGTCACCACACCTGGCCTATTTTGGCTTCTTAATCTGTCACCATTGACCAAGCAATGAAGAAAGACTGCTTTTTGATAGAGCTGATTGTATACCTCCAATTACACTGAAAGAGGCTATAGCTAAGTCTTTCCCCCGCCCCACGCCCGGGTTATTTTTTGATTTATTGGTAGAGACGAGGTCTCAACAAGTTGCCCAGGCTGCTCTTGAACCCCTAAGCTCAGGGAATCCTCTCACCTCAGCCTCCCAAACTGCTGGGATAACAGGCTGAGCCACCGAACCCAGCCTATAGCTAAGTCTTAATGAAGATTTTGAGATAACCAGACATCTAATAAAGTGATGCAGTGTAAAAACAGAGACAATCACTCTCTACTCATTCGTTTTATTAGGTCACGAGAAGACAATTAGTTGAAGAAAACAGATAAAAGGGGGTTGTATGATTTTCCACGGGGTCTTCTGCCTAATTTATGTATCTATTGATTGATTTCATGTGATGGGCATGTGATTAGTTTCATGACTGTAAACATGGTAGGCACACCTGAATTAAAACACTGTTGATAATTGGCACAATTCCCTCACAAAAACACTGACGTGCAGATGGCAAAAATAAATATTAATTAACTTGGGAGCCTCTCTAAACCTACTCTGGTTCAGAAGGCTGCCTGATTAAAAAAAAAAAAGAAAAGAATAGAAACCTGAAGTAACTTGCTCAACTTTACACCTACCAGTTTGGTAACACAGAATTGCTGCCTTAAATAATCATATACCCCTATCTCCCAACAAACATACAATTAAATCTAAGCATCTAGTGATGGACCTTACAGACAAAAAGTTTCACAGGTACATACCACAGTGCTTCCATTATTCATATTATGAATGTCTCTGTGAGGATGGGCGCAGAAGTCCAAGCAAGCAGTGACCCCAGAGAAAGGACGACCTTCCTTGCTGCCAAGCCGACATTCTCGGGCAACATTTTCATATTCCACCTAAAAACGAAAGAAACACAACTTTAAGAGACAGAAAGAATCACTTTCCTTCAGAAAACAGTAAACATAATTTCCTGACAAGTTTCTTAAACTAATTACATGTTGTAGTTTCTGAGACCAACAGCACATTATTGTGGTAAATATGTAGTTTACCAACATTCAGGATAAAGCACTTGACAATTATGGAGTGACATGACAATCACTGATTTTATATCTAAAGACAGGGAAAGGACACTAATTCCTGCTAGAGATGGAGAAATAAGTAAAGTAGCCTTAGTAAGCTGGGCTCGGCGGCTCAGCCTGTAATCCCGTGCCTTTGGGAGGCTGAGGTGAGTGGATTGCCTGAGCCCGCGGGTTCAAGACCTGCCTGGGCAGCGAGACCTCATCTCTACAATAAATCAAAAAATCAGCCGGTCGTGGTAGCGCATGCCTGTAATTTCGGCTACTTGGAAGGCTGAGGTGGAAAGATTGCCAGAGCCCAGCAGGTTGAGGCTGTGGTGGCCGGGAGTGGCCACTGCACTCCAGTCTGGGCGACAGAGTAAGACTCCAACTCAAAAAAATAAAAAAGTAGCCTTAGTTATTCCATTAGAAAGAAAGAACTGGGAGCAGTGGCTCAAGCCTGTAATACCAGAACTTTGGGAGGCCAAGGCAAGAGGATTGCCTGAGACCAGGGGTTCGAGACCAGCCCAGGCAACTTGGTAAGACCTCATCTCTATAATAAATCAAAAAAAATTAGCAGAGCATGGTGGTCTGTGCCTGTAGTTCCAGCTACTTGGAAGAATAAGGTGGAAGGATCGCCTGAGCCCAGCAGGTTGAGACTACGGTGGCTGTGAGTGTGCCACTGCACTCCAGCCAGGGCAAGCGAGTGAGACTCTAGCACAAAAAAATAAAAAATAATAATAATAAATAAATTTAAAAAGACCAATAAATGTGCATTAATCACATATGCGAAGTTCAGTATCTATCAACAGTAGATATACATACTTTTCACAAACTATTATAGAAAGAATTTGTAACTTTTTTCAAAATGAAAAGTGGGAATTTAATAAATAGTGTATTATCCATGTTACTACAAATAAACTAAATTTTTTTTTAAATATGAAAGTCTGATCATGTTTAAAATAATTCTGCCATCCTGGAGTTCAAATTCAACTGTCACAATAAGAACACTATTTTAAAAAGACTATGACTGGGCACAGTGGCTCATGCCTGCAATCCCAGGACTGTGGGAGGCCAAAGTGGAAGGAATGCTTGAGCCCAGGAGTTTGAGTCAGCCTGAGCACCAAAGTGAGACCTTGTCAGTACCAAAAAAATAACATAAATAAATAAATAAAAGCCGGGCATGATGGCAGCTGCCTGTAGTGTCAACTACTCAGGAAGCTTAGGCAGAAGGATCACCTGAGCCCAAGAGATTGAGGCTGAAGTGAGCCATGACTGTGCCACTGCACTCCATCCTGGGCGACAGAGTGAGATCACAACTCAAAAAACAAACGAAAAGGACTAGATCATTTAAAAAACTGCCAATTATCTAGATGTACTGTGGCGGTATTTAAATGTTGAAATTAGAATAGTTTTCTATTAACAATGATTGTTGCCGGGCTCGGTGGCTCAGCCTGTAATCCTGCGCTTTGGGAGGCTGAGGTGAGTGGATTGCCTGAGCCCGCGGGTTCGAGACTCGCCTGGGCAATTTGGCAGAACGTCATCTCCACAACAAATCAAAAATCAGCCGGGTGTGGTAGCGGGCGCCTGTAGTTCCAGCTACTTGGAAGGCTGAGGCAGAAGGATCGCCAGAGCCCAGGCAGGTGGAGGCTGCGGTGGCCGGCAGCGGCCACTGCACACCAGTCTGGGTAACAGAGTGAGACTCCAACTCAAAAAAAACCCCAAAACAAAAAACAATGATTGTTTTAATATAAAAAGTTTTCAGAAGCCGGTGGCTCAGCCTGTAATCCCATGCTTTGGGAGGCCGAACTGAGTGGATTGCCTAAGCCCGCGGGTTCGAGACCCACCTGGGCAACTTGGCGAGACCTCATCTCTACAATAAATCAAAAAATTAGCTGGGTGTGGTAGCGCACGCCTGTAGTTCCAGCTACTTGGAAGGCTGAGGTGGAAGGATCGCCGGAGCCCAGCAGGTCGAGGCTGCGGTGGCCGGGAGCGGCCACTGCACTCCAGTCTGGGTGACAGAGTGAGACTCCAACTCAAAAAAAAAAAAAAAAAAAAAAAAAGTTCTCAGAGATGGAGATCAATTTAAAAAGAAAAATTCAACCATGCTTAAAAGTAATGTATGAAGTTCCAGAACATACCTGATTTTGGTAAGCAACTGGAGCATACTGCTTATAAATAGGAGCCAATCGTGTAGCCAAACTCTGTAAGTTATCTTCAAGGTTTTTTTCCTATAGGAAAACACAGTCTTTACCAGTTATTTTATAATGACATATGAAGTGAGTTCAAAGTATGAAATTGAACCATAAATCATTGCTGATGGAGCTGATGTACAATTTATACTTACCCTCATAAGATAGCTACCATAGAAAAATAACACTATTTATTTTCTTAATCGAAACTGTTAGACATTGTTATGCTTTAAGTATGTCTTTTGAAATGAAAATTGTGTTATAAGTTAATTGGAAATTTAAATAGTGTTAGAGGTAAGCTGGAATACTATTAATGTTTTTAAGAATGGAAACTATATATTTATTCAATAGTATTGGGTACTTGGAATAAAGGAAGTTGAAGACAAGTTTTCTGCTAACAAGAAATGATGTCAAAGTAAAGAATTTAGTTACAGTGTGATAAGTTTCTGTAATAGAGAAGAGAGAGTACATACATAAAGCACATACAATGTATCAGATCCTCTCTAAAAAATATGTTCATAAAATAACATCATGAGACAGACATGTTTATTTAGTATTTCTAAAACAGCAAAGTAAGGATGATTGAGAAGTTTATCAAATGTCTCCAGATTCAACATAGTAAGTAGGCAACTGGTTATCTGCAACCAGCGTTCTCTTATCTACATTTCCATGATTGCACATTGAAGAAGACTTGGTAGGAATATAAGGTGCATTAACACTATCAATAATTTGAATTGTAGACCAGGCATGGTGGCTCAAGCCTGTAATCCGAGTGCTTTGGGAGGCCAAGGCAAGAGGATTGCCTGAGTCCAGGGGTTTGAGATTAGCCTGGGCAAGTTGGCCAGATCTTGTCTCTGCAATAAATCAAAAAAATTAGCTAGGCATGGTAGTGTGCGCCTGTAGTTCCAGTTACTTGGAAGGCTGAGGCGGAAGGATCAATCATCTGAGCCCAGCAGGTCAAGGCTGTGGTGGCCATGAGTGTGCCACTGCATTCCAGCCTGGGTGACAGAATGAGACTCCAACTCAAAATACTAATAATAACAATAATAATCTGAATCATTACTAATAGAGACATATGAGACTTTTTTAGAGGAAAGTAATCACAAGAGTCTTTATCAAAAATTTCATTGATAACAATAGGAGAAATGAAACAGATGGGAAACATTGGAAACATGAACGTTGAAAGACAACTGAAAGTAATTTAGAAATGATTATATATATTCTGGGTCAATTTAGATATTTAATATTAATCAATGAACAGTCACATCTAAGGAAGTCAATTGAAAGGGAATACAGAGCAAGGATGAAGTGTAGATGAAAAAAGGTTGAGGCTTTTGTCTCATATGAGATTTGGTGAATGGAGATGCCATAAATAGAGAAAGAACTTTATGTGAATCAATTGACCTCTGGCGTGCATCAAATTATTATAAAAGCCAAAGCCACACAATAATGCAGACATAGCAAATCAATTCTTTAGTGGTTTTGATAAGCCTCAATCTTGGCAACCAGAAAACATCACTGATAACCTTTCTGGTTTCTTACTAATTTATGTTGAGTCTTTTATTATATGAAAAAAAAAGATAATTTCTAGATTAGTCTGTTAATCTGTATACTTTTGCATATGCTACTCACTGTAGCTTAGGAAAGTCATGACCTTACTTAAAAATATTTCCTAGCTGTACTTGTACCTTAACTATTGCATTTATTTGGCAGAAACTTTAGAATTATGATTTAATGACTTATTAAAACAATTTTAATTATATTTCTAACATTGGAAAATATTGGGTGGGGCGGGTAATTGTGTTTTACTTCTAATAAAAATGTGAGGAAATGTTAATTGTTGTGTACTGGTAGTAATATAAACATTGGAAAAGTCACATGTAAATTCTGTATTTCTTATGAACTATTAGGCTTAAATTTTTCAATATTCTCACATCATTTTATTCTGCTTTATAGTAATATCTATTCTATTATGTACCACGTAGTGTCACAAGTCACACTGAGTAATCTGTCCTCTCAAAATACTTTATTTTTTGTAGAACTGTTGAAATAAAGTAAGTGCATGGGAACAACGCAAATAAAGCTTGTATATGGTGTTGACTATTGGTATTTACTATTGGGATTACTATTGTTAGGCTCATTATTCACACAATAAAAATTCAGACTTTCTAATTAGGTTCCAACACAATGAATGTGCAGGCTAGATAAAAAAGCAGCTTTTTATCAGATCTTAACCTACTGATGTTCAAGACTGCATCATCTCTCTGTTCTTCTCACTCTACACCTAATCCCTGGGACCAAAGCATCCACGTCCATGGGTATGATTACTACCCAGGCCACCCCTTCAACTCCAGATTCATATTTTTTACTGTTTTTGAGTCAGAGTCTCACTCTGTTGCCCCAGCTGGAGTGCAGTGGCATGCTCTTGGCTACCTCAGCCTTGACCTGCTGGGCTAGGTCAATATTTCCACCTTGGCCTTCCAAGTAGCTGGAACTACAGGCGCGCACCACCACGCCTGGCTAATTTTTGATTTATTGTAGAGAATGAGGTCTTGCCATGTTATCCAGGTTGGTCTCAAACCCCTAGACAGTCAATCTTCTCATCTTCGCCTCCCAAAGTGCTGGGATTACAAGCGTGAGTCACTGCACCTGGCTCAGATTCATATTATTGACCTGACATTCCCACTTAGACTTCCTTCTAAATCTCAAAACCAACATATCCAAATTGAATTTATGATCTCCTATCTACAAACCTGGCCCCTGTTCTGTGTGCCTGATGTCAAAGATGAACCCTACCATATAAAATAAACCACGATTATTCATTCCATGTATTAGTCTCGTAAATAGTTGGCTTATCTTATGATCCACTCTTGGCCACATTCGATCTATTATCAAAGAACATTTGGTGAGATCTCATTAAAAAACAAGAAAGAAGGTTGCCTGAGCCCAGGAAATCAAGGTTGCAGTGAGCTATGACCATGCCACTTCACTTTAACCTGGGAGACAGAGTCAGACCCCGACTAAAAAACAAACAAGAAAGATTAAAAATTAAAAAATACAGTTGGGTGTAGTGGTTCATGCCTGTAGTCCCAGCTAGTGAGGAGGCTGAGGCAAGAGGATTCCTTTGGCCCAGTTGTTCAACTCCAGCCTGAGCAACATAGCAAGATCGTGTCTCAAAAAGTGAACTAAGTTAAATTAAAAAATAGAATAAAGCAAAATAAATTTTATTTCTGAACATAAGCTCCATGTAGGTTAAAACACTTTTGTTAGCAATGATACCATCCGTTTAATCCATCTTTAAATGGGAGGATCCTGGGAACTGAATCATGTCAATATAGTGTTTTTTACATCACTAAGTGAAATGGGTGCCCTTTAAAGCTTTTATTGTTTTTTTTTTTTAGACCAGTCAAGTGAAGCAGTAGGAAAGGAGAAAGAACACAGAAACTTGTAACTAGTTGTAATCTATTAGTTGTAAACACCACTGCACTTGGACCAGCCTAAAGATTTTTTAAAAATTAGAAAACAAAAAGAAGGAGCCAAATCCCGGCCCCCGCTTGTTTAAAATCCCCATCCTTGTCTGCAGTTGAGCTAGGTGCAATGGTTTTGGCACCCATCAAAAGTTTGCTTTTTGGTGGGGCTTGGTGGCTCAGCCCGCAATCCCAGCACTTTGGGAGGCCGAGATGAGTGCACTACCAGAGCGCGGGTTCGAGACCAGCGGGCAACTTGGCAAGACCTTGTCTTCAAAATAAATAAAAAATTAGCCAGGCGTGGTAGTGCGTGCCTATAGTTCCAGCTACTTGGAAGGCTGAGGCGAAAGGATCGCTAGTGCCCAGCAGGTCGACACTGGGGTGGCCTTGAGAGTGCCACGCACTCCAGCCTGGGCGACAGAGTGAGACTCCAACTCAAAAAAACAAAACAAAAACCCCTGAAAGGAGTTTGCTTTAATTTGTCAGTCAGGATTGTATAAACTGAACCAGTTAAGATGTCTGAGGTGTCAGCTATTATTTCAGCTTTTAATTGTCAGTGCTTTTGAGTTAGGGCTGACAAATTTTTCCTCAAAAATTGATGTGATGAACTACGGCTATCAGTTTCATCTCTAAAATCATCTCATTCCTTCTTTTTTTTTTTTTTGAGTCAGAGTCTCATTGTTCCCAGGCTGGAGTGCAGTGGCATGCTACTCATAGCCACCACAGCCTCAACCTGCTAGGCTTAGGCGATCCTTCTGCTTCATACTTCCAAGTAGCTGGAACTAGAGGCGCGTGTGACCATGCCCAGCTAATTTTTCTTGATTTATTGTCAAGATGAGGTTTTACCAAGTTGCCCAGGCTGGTCTTAAACCCCTGGGCTCAGGCAGTCCTCTCACCTTGATCTCCCAAAGTGCTGGGATTATAGGCGTGAGCCACTGCACCTGGCCTTCATTCCTTCTTAAAATGAATTATCCGTTTGTAAACTGCTGATTTATGAGGCATTGTCCCCATAAACTTTTTATAAAGCATCAGTGATTTCACCATTCTTCCACCAGAGCATTGTCATAAATTTGATATTTGTTCTTGCTGCAATTTTAGCAGAATTCATGTGGCTCTAATAGAGGCTGTTTTCTTTTTTTTTTTTTTTTTTTGAGTTGGAGTCTCACTCTGTCGCCCAGACTGGAGTGCAGTGGCTGCTCCCGGTCACCGCAGCCTCGACCTGCTGGGCTGTGGCGATCCTTCCACCTCAGCTCTCCGAGTAGCCGGAATTACAGGCATGCACCACCATGCCTGGATGATTTTTTAATTTATTGTAGAGAGGAGGTCTCGACAAGTTGCCCACGCGGGTCTCGAACCCGCGGGCTCAGGCAATCCACTCACTTCAGCCTCCCAAAGGTGCGGGATTACAGGCTGAGCCACCGAGCCCGGCTTGAGGCTGTTTTCAAACTGATATCTTATCTTTCAGTGCCCTCAAACTAGATTCAGTTCAGATATGTTAGAGCAAATTAATATAAGTTAACTTTTGTACAAAAAATGAAATCCATGCATAGTTTATTCATAATATGCATTTTCCATTAACTTTTTAAGACCCCTCACATTTATATACTATCAGACACTTTCATCAGAATATTTAGAAAGCAAATCTATTTTTGGTTAATTTTTTTTTTTTTTTTGGTGAATCAGAGTTTCAGTCTGTTGTCCAGGCTGGGGTACACTGGCTTGCTCACGGCCACAGCATCCTTGACCTGCTGGTCTTAGAGGATCCTTCTGCCTCAGCCTTCCAAGTAGCTGGAACTACAGGTATGCACTACCATGCCTAGCTAATTTTTTAATTTATTGTAGAGACGAGGTCTCACCATGTTGCCTAGGCTGGTCTGGAATCCACAGGTTTAAGCAATCCTCTCGCCTCTGCCTTCCAAAGTGCTAGGATTACCGGTATGAGCCACCGTGCCTGGCCTAGTTCGTTAATTTTAAGGAACAATTGACATCACACTATTGAGTGTCCTGACCTTTGAACATGGTACTTTTCAATTATCGGGTATTTTATAAATCCTTCAGTAAAGTTTTACAGTTGTTTATCTAAAAGTCTAACAGACATCTTTTTAATTTTTTCTGAGACACTATATAGATTTCTTTTGTTAATGCGAATAGGACCTCCTTCTATTTTGTTATATGCTGTTAATAGTTATGATAGTATTCTGTAGGTTGATTATTTTGTTTTCTTGATAGGAAATCATATTATCTGCAAATGATACTTCTCTCTGTTCAGCCATTTCCTATTTTTATTGCAATAGGTGGAAATACTATAAAATGCTAAATTCAGTTTATCTCTTTAACAGGATTATCATTTACTAATGCTGAGTTTTTCAATAGATGTTACATTAATTATACACACAGATTAATTCCTGCTGTTTTATTTTGTATTTTCTATTTGTCCTGCATGCTAATGATCTTTTGAATTTTCTTTGATGACTTTTTCGAGTCAGAGTTTCACTCTGTCACCCAAGCTAGAGTGCTGTGGTATCATTACAGCTCACTGCAGTCTCTGACCTCTGGGCCCAAGCAATCCTCCTGTGCCAGCCTCCCAATAAGCTGGGACAATGGATGCATACCACCATCCTTGACTAATTTTTTTACTCTTTGAGTCAAAAAAAATCCCAAAGTGTTGGCATTACAGGCATGAGCCATCACACCCAGCCCCTTGGATGGCTTACGAAAGGGTCGATTACTTTTAAAAACACTTCTTTTCCACAGCTAAGTCAAAAGATTTACATTCTATTTCTATTCATTCAAAACATTTTAAACATACACTTTCTTTCTCACATATATATTTTTCTGACAACATCTGGAGCAGAGTTACCTAACCTGTGGGTCATGACTTATTAGTGGGATATGAAATCAGTCTAGTAGATCAAAACTAGCATTTTAAAAAGAAATAAAATCTAATTTAAAAAATTAGAATGTATCACAGAGGTTCTTAGAATAACTACATTGATATTAACTTTTTTTAAAAAGTTGAATGTTAGTGCTGTTACATGTAAGAAGGGTAAGTATTGTTTTTAGATGATTTTCTTTTAATTATTTTTTGTGTGTATATATGTGCACAGTGGTTTGTAAGATAACATGTTTTTTACTCGTGATCATTACTCAAAGAAAAAGCACAAATCTTACAGTTAATCAATACATAAATCCTCTCCACCCAAAGTATGAAACATTACCATACTTAATACCTGTTAGTGCCCCACCCCCTCCCACTGCCTACCCACCCAAGAGCCAATAAAGGTATGGAATTATAGGTTCTTATTTTAATTTAAAAAAATGTAAGTACTCAACTTATTTAAACTTAACACCAAGTGTGACTAATTTCTTTGCTCACCATGGCCTCGTGTCCCGGACAGATTCGTTCCGGTTTCATATATCTTCTTTCTGGATTACGTCCTTTAGTAATTCTTTCATAGTAGGTCTGTGGGTAGTAAACTTTCTGAGTCTTTGAAATGTTGGCAAATGGCTTTTTCCTAATTTGGTTGGGTATAAAATTCTAGGTACTTTTAATGATGATTCCCTCTGGGGTAGGGAAGCAGAGTAGGAGGAGTAAGCCAGGGACAACTGGAATTTGGGTTGATAGCTAAAAACTTTACCTAATTTACTTAGAATTTTAAATTATTTACTTATACACATATAAATATATTTTTACTATTTTATTACTAATTTTTAATATTTAATTTTCTTAGTGTTTCAAAACACTTTAACGGTATGTACTTACATATTCATTGTAAAATTACAAAACAAAAGGGCACTTACATGTAAGGGAGAGCTTGGATCAATTCTAAATCTTCTGGGGCTTGGGCTTCTACCAAACTTACAGCCGTTAAAGTACATACTCCACGAACAGCCAAAAGAGAACGAAGCTCCACAAGTCTCTGGATCAATCCCTTGACATGTACAGGTGCGACTGCAAGATGGCAATTGAAAGGGAATGAAGAGATGAAGCAGGTCAATACCTCAGACAGAACATTTCAGGGTCCAGTTAGTTTTATAAACATAAACAGCTGACCGGGCATGGTGGCCATGCCTATCATCCCAGCACTTTGGGAGGTCGAGGTGAGAGGATTGCCTGAGCCTGTGGGTTCAAGACCAGCCTGGGCAACTTGGTGAGACCTCATCTCTACAATAAATCTTATATATATCTATATCTCTAATAAGGGTGCAGTGTTGAATGCTTGTAATCCCAGCCTTGGGAGGCTGAGGTGGGAGGATTGCTTGAAAGACCAGGATAGGAAACATAATGAGACCTCGTCTCTATTTAAAAAATCAAGAAATAGGCCAGGCATGGTGGCTCACACCTGTAATCCCAACACTTTGGGAGGCAGAGATGAGAGGATTGCCTGAGCTCAAGGGCTTGAGACCAGCCTGGGCAACTTGGCAAGACCTCGTCTGTACAGTAAATTAAAAAATTAGCTGGGTGTGGTGGTGCGTGTCTATGGTTCCAGTTATCTGGAAGGCTCCATATACACATCTAAAATAGCGACAACCAGATATGATTTGGAGATGTCAGAGATGGGGAAATAAAGATCCTGGCTTTAAGTACTGGACTTGTTTCCTATTAGAAATGAAAATTAGAGAATCTGGTTGGGCACAGTGGTTCACACCTGTAATCCCAGCACATTGGGAGGTGGCGGTGAGAGGATTACCTAAACCCACAGGTTCAAGACCAGCTTAGGCAACATGGCTAGACTTTGTCTCTACAATAAATCAAGAAATTAGGTGGACATGGTGGTGCACGCCTGTAGTTCCAGCTACTTAGAAGGCTGAGGCAGCAGGATCGCCTGAGCCCAGCAGGTCAAGACTGTGGTGGCTGTGAGCAGCATGCCACTGCACTCCAGCCTGGGCGTCACAGTGAGACTCCAACTCAACAACAACAACAAAAAAAACAGAAAGAAAATTAGAGCATCTCACTACCTTTTGGAATTCACCTCCTTTATGTCTAAGATGAAACTAAAATAATTTTCTGAGGATTGAAAAATGCTAGTATGACATACTGCATGTAAAAATGCCTGATATAGCTGGGCTCGGTGGCTCAGTCTGTAATCCCATGCTTTGGGAGGTTGAGGTGAGTGGATTGCCTGAGCCCATGAATTCGAGGCTCACCTGGGCAACTTGGCGAGACCTCATCTCTACAATAAATAAAAAAATCAGCCGGACATAGTAGCGCTTGCTACTCGGAATTCCGGCTACACGAAAAGCTGAGGCGGAAGGATCGCCGGAGCCCAGCAGGTCGAGGCTGCGGTGGCCGGGAGCAGCCACCACACTCCAGTCTGGGCGACGGAGTGAGACTCCAACTCAAAAAAAAAAAAAAGCCTGCTATGTAACATATTATCGCTTATAAGAATGATTAAAATAAAGATCAGTCAAGATAGTATAAGGAAGAAAACAAGATGCAAATTGAATAAAATGAATTAAATTAAATGTGAAATTGTAGAAGAAAATTAAAATTGCTCAAAAAAGTAGAAAAATAAGAAATTTATATCACTAAAAACAACCTGGATAGGAGAGAGAAAAATAGTTTAACTTACTACTGAGTATTATTGGCTTGAGATAGCTCATAATGTTATGCACTGAGTGGAATATTCTTGCCAATAATTCATAATCTAACTTGATTCAGGAAGAAACAATTAGACAAACCAAAACTGACTAACATTCTACAAAAATGGCTTGTTCCTCTCAGAAATCTCAATGCAATGAAAGACAAAGACTGAGATTAAGGAAGCAAAAGGACAAAATGAGAAATGGATGATATTTGAATATGAACTAAGGATTAGATAACAGTGTTTCATAAAAATCAAATTTCTTCTTTTTTTTTTTTTTTGAGTTGGAGTCTTACTTGGTCGCCCAGGCTGGAGTGCAGTGGCCGCTCCCAGCCACTGCAGCCTCGACCTGCTGGGCTCCGGCGATCCTTCCGCCTCAGCCTTCCGAGTAGCCGGAATTACAGGCGTGCGCTACCACGCCCGGATGATTTTTTGATTTATTGTAGAGATGAGGTCTCGCTGCCCAGGCGGGTCTCGAACCCATGGGCTCAGGCAATTCACTCACCTCAGCCTCCCAAAGGCGCGGAATTACAGGCTGAGTCACCGAGTCCAGCTCAAAATTAAATTTCTTAATTTTAATCATTATAATGGGGTTATAGAAGAGAATGCTAAATACACTCAGGTATTATTTAGGAAGAAAATCTGCCTTTAGTTCTCAAATGGTCTAGAAAGAAAAAATAAGAAATCAGCAATAGTGTTAAGTATTTGTATGTGTACATACATGTAAATAAGTAAACGTAACACAGTGTTAGCAATTGTGGGATCTATGTAAGGGCATATAAGAGTTCACTGATCCGGGCTCGGTGGCTCAGCCTGTAATCCCGCGCCTTTGAGAGGCTGAGGTGAGTAGATTGCCTGAGCCCATGTGTTCGAGACCCGCCTGGGCAGCGAGACCTCATCTCTACATTAAATCAAAAAATCATCCGGGCGTGGTAGTGCGCGCCTGTAATTCCGGCTACTCGGAAGGCTGAGGTGGAAGGATCGCCGGAGCCCAGCAGGTCGAGGCTGCGGTGGCCGAGAGCGGCCACTGCACTCCAGTCTGGGCGACAGAGTGAGACTCCAACTCAAAAAAAAAAAAAAAAATAAGAGAGTTCACTGAATTATTCTTACATCTTTCTGTAAAAATAAAGTTTTTATTTTATTTTATTTTTGAGGTAGAATCTCACTCTGTCACCTAGGCCAAGTAGCTGGAACTATGGACGTGTGCCCCCACACTTAGCTAATTTTTCAATTTATTGTAGAGACAAGAACTTGTTATGTTGCCTAGTCTGATCTTCGACTCCTGGGCTCAGGGCAAGTATCTCACTTTCACCTCCCAAAGTCCTGGGATTATAGGTGTGAGCCATTGTGCACGGCCTATTTTATTTACTTATGTATTATTTATGTACGTATGTATTTATTTATTTTTGAGTCAGAGTTTACTCTGTCGCCCAGGCTGGAGTACAGTGGCATGCTCATGGCCATCGCAGCCTTGACCTGCTAGGCTCAGGTGATTCTTCCGCCTTAGCCTTCAAAGTAGCTGGAACTATAGGTGTGTGTTACCATGTCCGACTTATTTATTAAAGAGACAAGGTCTCACCAAGTTGCCCAGATTGGTCTCGAACCCCTGAGAGCTCAGGCAATCCTCACCTTGGCCTCCCAAAGTGCTGGGATTAAGGCTTCAGCCACCGCGACTGGCCTACTTATGTATTATCTTGCGGCAAGGTTTCACTCTGCTTCCCAGACTAGATAGAGTGCAGTGGCACATTCATGGCTCACTGCAGCCTCCAACTTTTGGACTCAAGCAATCCTCCTGGGTCAGCATACCAAGTAGCTAGAATTAAACATTTTGTATTTTTTGTAGAGACAAGGTCTCGCTTTGTTGCCCAGACTGGTCTTGAACTCGGACCCAGGCAATTTTGCTGCTTCCCAAAGTGCTGGAATTACAATCAAGAGCCACCACATATGTCCTGAAGTTCTTTTTAAATGATATGCTAGATCTACATTAAGTGAAATAAAGTGATACATACTTTACTGGATTATAGAAAAGGTTAAATAAGACAAGATATTTGTAACCTTAAGAGCACTGAGTTCACATGAATGGTATTATTTTTCTTTTTTTGAGTTGGGGTCTCACTCTGTTGCCCAGGCTGGAGTGCAGTGGCATGCTTACAGCCACCACAGCCCTGACCCGCTGGGCTCAGGCGAGCTTTCCGCCTCAGTCTCCCAGGTAACTGGGACTACAGGTGCATGCCACTACCCAGCTAATTTTTTGATTTATTGTAGAGATGAGCTCTCACCAAGTTGCCCAGACGGGTCTTGCATACCTGGGTTCAGGTAGTCCTCTCACCTCTACCTCCCAAAATGCTAGAATTTCAATCGTGAGGCACAGCGCCCAGCAGGTATTATCATTATGTATAATAAAATAATTAGCAGACTTGATGAAAATTGATGTATGCATACTGTGGCATTGGAAGGATAAGAGAGTGACTTATCAAGGGGAAAAGATGCAGTCTTGAGTAATCAATCTTGGGAGAAGTGGAAAAAGGTTAAATTTTTTTGTTTTTTCTTTCTTTTTTTTTTTTTTTGAGTTTGAGTCTCACTCTGTCGCCCAGACTGGAGTGCAGTGGCACACTCCTGGCCACCACAGCCTCAACCTGCTGCGCTCTGGCGATCCTTCCACCTCAGCCTTCCAAGTCACGGGAACTATAGGCACATGATACCACACTCGACTAATTTTTGATTTATTGTAGAGACGCAGTCTCACCAAATTGTGAAAAGTCTATTTGCAAATTACATTGCAAAGGGTTAATAGCACCAACACAGAAATTTTTTTTTTAAATGAAAAAAGACAAAATGAACAGCAATCCTTTAGAAAAATGTAGCAGAATAAGTAACAGATGGTTGAGGAAAAAAAAGGAATGCCAAATGGCTCCTTCCCATATGAAAAAAAAAACCCCATTCATTCATAATAAGAAAAATGCAAGTCAAAATTACACTGATGTCATTGCTCTATTAAATGGGCAAAAATTCAAATTTGGCAACACAGTTATTGGCAAGACTGCTGAAAAGCAGATATTTTCTTAGACTGTTAAACAGAGTAAATGCAACGACTCTCGCAGGGAGGACTTTTCTTTTAAGTAAATCTCCCTTTCCTTCAGACACTAGGAATGAATTAAATCAGATAACAAAAAGAGAAGCGATAAAAGAAATCTTCTAAAGGACAATATTCTCACCTGGCCTGACCTCAGGATGCAACCACTCTTTAACGAAATGTTTATTCTTTTTTGTACTACAAATACTTAAAATCTGATTCTCCCCCAATAATATATGTAGTTTGTAGTTAATGAACAATTTACCAATTTAATTGCCAATTCACAACTTATAATAGAGATCTGAGTGGCAAAGCAGCACAAAACAGATTTAATTACTTTTCATTGAGGGTGCATCTTCGGTCTGTGGGATGACCGTTGTACGACTTTAGATTCTCAGTAAGCTCCGTGTACAATCTGTCAGCCATTGGAAGAGGAATGCCATCCCATATCATGATGAGTACCACCATGACAGCAGTTGGACAGTGGTGGCCTGTACGCTGCCGAACCAAACAAAGAACTTTTTCTTCATCACTGCTTCTTCTTAAAACCTGCAAAAACAGAACGCATTCATCTATGGAAGACAAGTATCCTGAATTTGAATGCAATGGACATTCTTTGTATAGCCTAGTATTAATCTACTTTAGTTTTTAAAAAATTACTATTTCTCAAGGGATTGAAGCCAATAGGACCTTCCGTTGTCTCAATGGTTGCCTCCATGCGACTGACTCATCACAAGAGTATCCCAGCCCACATGACTAACAAACAGCAGGCAGAAATCTGTGGTATGTGGTTATTATTTGTAAAAAAATAAAAGTCACACACAAAGCAGTTTGTGTTTTATTTCACAGTTGTTATAGTTTGCACAACAGACAACAGAGGGTCCAGTGGAAAACTTAACTAACTGCTCTGCTCTTCACAAATGTCACAATAGAACAAATGTAGTTAGATGGACACAACCAAGAAATCTCAACATTAAAAATAAACTTGAACACTGAAATTTGGCCATCTGAGTAACATTATGGATTTCTCCTTCGGGTGATTCAGTTTATTGTATAGAATAATATACATAAAGCAATGTTCCTGCAATTTCTGTGATTTCTCCATGCTTTCAGAAAGATGCATCATATCCATTTTATTCATAAAGACTAATGTGGCCCAGATGACTTGGTAAATGTAAAGCACAACAGTTAATTTAGAATATTTATCCATTTATCTTACACTGCATCATACTCCTGGGATGCTAAAAAGCCTTAGGAAATATTTAAAATATTGCCCAGTGGTGCGAGTGTTTTCTCAAAAACAAACAAAAAACTATAGAAATACTGTCACCACATAAAACCATTCAACGTTTAAAACTCCCTCCATATATCAGAAATTTACAGCAGAAAAATTGACCACATTAATCAGTACATAATCAAGACATGATGAAAACGCCCACCCATGTCACTAGAATGTAGCCACCAATAGCATAATTAATATCTTGTTGTTATAATAATATTACAAAACTTGAGAGGAAACTTCTTAAGACATTAGTTACCCAATATCACTTTCTTCTGTCACTCCAGATGGTTAACAATCATTGCTACCCAGGCATCCCTTGAGTAGAGTTGGCTTTAGGACCTTCCCCCTAAACACAATTATTTATATTAAAATTTTTTCTATATTTATATGTCCTTTTACAGCCACATAAGAACACATTTGCTTGCAAATAACCTCAAATACAAAATGATATATAGTATTAAATTATACCAGTTATTTCTGTCAATCAAGTCTTTGTATGGGAAAAGCTAAAATGTTTTTGGTGATATTTGGGCCTTCTTTGGATTTTCCAAATTTCCTTCAGCATACAATAGAAAATTATGCACAATGGTTGGGAGAAGAATCTGTCAATTCAAATCCAGCTTCAATAAGTTGCTGAAATATTAAATTTGTGCAAGACCTCTGAAAACTATAAAAATATTATTAATAGAAAGAAAGACCTAATAAATCAATAGGGTTACTAAGTTCATGAAATACCCATTATTATAATAATGTCAATTTTCCCCAAATTGATCTCTAGATCCCACGCCATCCAAAAAAACCCTACCAGAAGTTCATGAGTTAGTGTGTGTGTGTAAGAGTGTGTGTGTGTGTGTGTGTGTGTTTGTGTGTGTGTGTGTGTGTGTGTGTATGAATTGACTGACTTATTCCAAAGTTTATATGGATATGCAAAGAACCAAGAAAGTTAAGAAAATGAACAAAGATAGAGAAAGTCACTTGCAAGCCGGGCACAGTGGCAAATGCCTATAATCCCAGCACTTTGGGAGGCGGAGGCAAGAGGATTGCCTGAGTCCAGGGTTTAGAAACCAGCCTGGGCAACTTGGCAAGACCTCATCTCTACAACAAATCAAAAAATTAGCTGGGTGTGGTGGTACATGCCTGTAGTTTCAGCTACTTGGAAGGCTGAGGTAGAAGGAATGCCAGTACCCAGTAGGTTGAGGCTGCAGTGGTCGTGAGTGTGACATTGCAATCCAGCCTGGTTGACAGAGTGAGACTCCAACTCCAAAAATAAAAATAAAAAACTTCCACAATAGAAAACTGGCCAAAAAAATCAAACAGGCACTCCACAATAAAGAATATACAAACAAATGATAAACATATGAAAATAAGCTCAATATTAGTCATCTAGCAAAGTAAAACACAATTTCAACGTGCTGCCCATTTTGGTGGAGAGAGAAAAGATTGTCCCCAGAAAGTTACTGTTACAATTTCCAGGAGGCAACTGGACATAGTTAGAAGAAACTCGAAGCCCAAGGAAGTATTCAGTTATAGCAGGCAAATTTCGTTCATAGTCATAGCATACATACATAGGAAACAGAAAACTAAGTTTTTTTAAATAATTTTTTTTTTAATAGAAATGAGGTCTCACTATGTTGCCCAGGCTGGTCTCAAACTCCTGAGCTCAAGTAATCCGCCTGCCTCAGCCTCCCAGAGTTCTGGAATTACAGGTGTGAGCCATTGCACCTGGCCTAGAAACCAAGTATTTGAACAGCTTTCTATTTTATTGTATCCTCTTCTTATATCTTTGGTAAAAAGCTTTTTAATTCTCCCCTAAAATCAGAAGAGAACATTACATGTATGGTCAGGTTGTTTGTACAAAACTAAAATCTCTATTCATTAAGTCAATGAATAATGTACTGTCATTTAATGATTTTTCCACTAAATGTACTAATTTCTCTTACTGGTATATGGACTTCATAACTGTACTATGGGTCTTTTTTTAAAATCAGAGTCTGTCATTCAAGCTGGAGTGCAGTGGCACACCCACGGCCACCGCAGCCTCGCCCTGATGGGCTCAGGAAGGCAATCCTTCCGCTTCAGCCTTCCAGGTAGGTGTAACCACAGATGCGACTATACCTGACTAATTTATCTTTATTTATTGTACAGATGAGGTGTCACCAAGTTGCCCAGGCTAGTCTCGAACCCGTGGGCTCAGGCAATCCTCTTGCATCTATCTCCCAAAGTGCTGGGATTACAAGCAAGAGCAAGTACACTTGGCCTACAGTTCTATTAGAAACATAGACAATATTATTGTATGATATCTGAGAAATGAGTCACCTGAAGCCCAATTGCCACGAGTATGCAATATGTCCATGTACCAAACGTGCATTTATACCCCTTGAAACGTAAAAACACTAAAAAATGAAAAATGAAGAAAAGGCTTAAAATTATAAGCCACGATTATTGTAATAGTATTTCTAGATTATTCAAGAGAAATCACAGAAACATCTCGAAATTTTAAAGAGAGTATAACAGGTGGGTCCTTATAAATATTAAAGCCTCTACAGCTTTAATATATACCAGCAATAATCAAATAGAAATTTGGTTTAGAGCTTGAATAAAACATAGCTATAAAGATTATCTTGGGGAAAATGCATGCAAATGACACCCCCACAACGTTGTTAAAAAAAAAAAAAACAACACAAAGACGCAAAGACATAAGATTAAAACTGCATTTTAAAAAAGATAAATTTATAAACAAAATCCAGTAGAAGGAACATAATTGTGTTCCCAGATGGGAAGGCCAACACTAAAAGATGTTGAGTCTAGACACCAATCTCTTACACAATCTATAAAAATTTAGCTTGTTTATAAGGGTCATATGAAAGAGTACATGAGTATCAAGTTCAGAAAAAGGTTTTTTGTTTGTTTGTTTGTTTCTTAAGAGACCATGGTCTTGCTCTGTCACCCAGGCTGAAGCACAAACAAAGGAGGACTACAGGCAATTGCCACTGCACCCAGCTAATTTTTACATTTTTTTTGTAGAGATGTTTCCCAGGCTGGTCTCTAACTCCTGGCCTTAAGCAATACTCCCTCCTGCCTTGACTTTGTAGAATGCTGAGGTTACAGGCATGTGCCACCAAACCCAGCAAAGAAAATTATTTTTAAACAAACAAGAGGGAATTACACTTCTAAATGTAAAATTATTCTTTTTTTTTTTTTTTATAGCTGGATTCTCACTTTATCGCCCAGGCTGGAGTACAGTGGCATGCTAACGATCACCGCAGCCTCGACCTGCTGGGCTCACAGGATCCCTTCACTTCAGCCTTTCAAAAAGTTGGAAATACACTGGCCACCACGCCCAGTTAATTTTTTTGGATTTACTGTAGAGATGAGGTCTTACCAAGTTACCCAGGCTGGTCTCTAACCTGAGAGCTCAGACAATCCTCTCACCTTGGCCTCCCAAAATGCTGGGATTACAAGCGTGAGCCACCACACCCAGCAAAACTATTCTTTAAAGCAACAGAAGGCTGGGCTCGGTGGCTCAGCCTGTAATCCCAGCACTTTGGGGAACTGAGGGAAGTGGATTGCCTAAGCCTGTGGGTTCGAGACCCACCTGAGCAACTTGGTGAGACCTTGTCTCTACAATAAATCAAAAAATTAGGCGGGCGGGATAATGCGTGCCTGTAATTCTGACTCCTTGGAAGGCTGAGGCGGAAGAATCACCTGAGCCCAGCAAGTCGAGGCTGCGGTGACTGGGAGCATGCCACTGTACTCCAGTCTGGGTGACAGAGCGAGACTCCAACTAAAAAAAATAAAACAAACAAACAAACAAACAAACAAAGCAATAGAAATCAGCAGTACTAGCCCAGCAGTGGTCTATTCTAACACTTCAATGAGCACTATCAACAAAAGTGGACACATGGAAATAGAAGTGGATTTTCAAATCAGTTAAAAATTAATTTCTGGCTCTATACATAAAACAAAATTATGAAAACATGGGGAGACATTATTTTTATATTAGGATGAGAAATGCTTCTTCAACAATATAACAATCCTCTGAAACCATATAAGAAACTGACCTACTAATAACTTCTAGCTTCTCGATAAAATCATGCATTCAAGCTACAATGAAAATCTATTAATGGACAATACCAGACTATACAATAAGTCTTATTTACAGCAGGGTGTGGTGGCTCATGCCTGTAATCCCAGCACTTTGGGAGATGGAGGAGAGAGGATTACCTAAGTCTAGGGGCTCGAGACCAGCCTGGCCAACTTGGTGAGA